GATATTACTGTTTTAGATGTTATCCTGGATGCTAATGATTTTGTAGATGACATCCTCAGTATGATGCTTTCTTGCCTCTATCTAACAACTGAGTCATTGGCACAGATAGAGGAGGGACTGGAGAAGGGCTCAATACAAGATCTCTCACTGGTGTTGTCAGTGTAGAAGTCAGTCTTAGGTTGGTGCCTTGACTCCTTATCCTTCAGATGGGGCTCAGCAGAGGTCCCAGTGCAGGCAATGCCAGATATGCCTGGCATCTCAAACATGCTCTCCCATGGGGTGGTCAGCATTGATCTAGCAGTAACGGTTTCATTTTATGCAGCTCTTTGCAGAGAAGTTGTTTTGTAAATCTTCCACCTAATCTTGTATAATATGAATGTAAGATATGTAACTTTTTGTATTCTAAGTCTGTAGGGGTACATCTACACTGCATGCTTATTTTGAAATAAGCTATTCCAGAATTTATTTTCAAGAATAGCTTATTTTTAAATAGCGCGTCTTCACACAAAAAACACATCAAAATTGCAGTTTGCTATTTCAAAATAGAGCGTCCACACTGATTGGACGCTAACTCACATTTAAGGCCACCCGGAACCACTTCAGGCAGGGTATCAGCTCAGCAGTTACTTCCAGGAGCTTCTGCCTGAGGCTATCTGAAACATGATCTTCAAGAGAACCCCTGTACAGCCTCTTCTCATGTTCTTCTCCTGCTTGCCTACCTCTCTGAGGGAAAGCAAAGCATTTTCACTGTATGCTTTGGTTGCCCTGTTTTTGGACACCACAGCACTCCCAGCAATGGAACCGGAGCTGCCTCTGAGTACGTGACGGCCCCTATCTGTTGTGCTGCTGTTTCTGTTTCAGGCCCTGCAAGAACATGACCCCTAGTTGTTTGAGGGAGACCTTCGACCTCTATCTGTACATGCAGATCTTCCAGCTGCACCCAACTGTGCACCACCACTTTTGGCAGCTGGACACCAGTTCTGACTGGTGGGACTCGCTTGTGATGGAGTGGTGGGATGACCAGTAGTGGCTTCAGAATTTCCGCATGAGGAAGAAGACCTTGGTCTCCAGTGAAATTAGGTAACCGTCGTGGCTCCTTTCCTTGTTCTTGTAGAGAAATGAGTGTTGTCCTTAGTTGAAGTGGTCGTGCTCAGGAAATTCTCTGCAAAATAATTCTGGTATCATGGGTTGGAGACCGGAGAAATTTTTGCATCAAAATAAGGTTTAAGCAGAGGTCTCATTCATGGCTGGCCCTCATGTTCAGATTGCTGCAGTGAATGCACTTTTGAAGAATGTGCAACTCACTATGAGAGCTAACACAGAAAGAATGAACATCTGAGACCAGCACTGCTTTGTGGCATGGGAAGCCAGGCATTGTTGAAGTGGGTTAAATGAATCCACACTCAGTTAAATTTTTCCCCCTTTCATTTTTGTGACTCAAACTATTTCAACTAACAGTAGCTAAATATCTAAAAAGTATTTCTAATTCTATTTCTCAAGATTTTAAGGAGATATGGGACACCACCACAGAGCTCCATCTGAGGCCAAAGATGATTGAAAAGGAACTGGGGGTTGGATCATGTGCATACTAGATGAGGAGCCAAATGTGTTGCAAGATAGACATAGCGCATGTATGTCCTGCATGGATGCTTGCTACTGAAAATTTCCAACTAATGATGTAGAGATGAACCAACATATAAAGCAGAGCCCTACTCGCAGAAGAACCAGGTCAATGAGTAGGAAGAGTCCCTAAAATGCTGCATCTTGCCCAAGGCGGCAGTCTAATAGAGTGTTCCCCATGATAAGAATGCTTAAGTAATTGGTGTGTCATGAGGACTCAGCGGTAGTCCTGGGGTCTAAAGCAGCTGGGCCATGAAGCTCTACTTCCAAGAAGGGATAACAGATCCAGGAAGTGTGCCAGAAAGGCCAAAAAAGAGACAGAGTAGGAGCCCACCATGATAAAAGGAAACTTCAAAGCATGTGGTTCCAGGATGGTGGGATCCACTGGATAAGACAGAAAGATGTACTTTTTAGTAGTCCTAGTAATCAAGCAATAAACTCATTTCAGGCAGGAAGAAAGGCAGGCAGGCAGGAATTTGTAGAGCTGTCTTTGATTTTGGAGGGCATTACAACAGAGACATATATTTAAATCCACTATATACTTGAGAGAGGTTTGTGTATCTGTGCGTCAGTCTCTGTCCATCTGCCTGTTTGTTCAAGAACTCCTTCTAGGAGCTAGGACCACCAAATTAGGTATGAAGCTTCCTCTTATCATAATCTAAACCAAGATGAGGGTTTGGTTGTGCCAGGAAAATGGGATCTGCCCAGAATGGGCTTGTTTCTCATAAAACCATATAAAAGAGAGACGTAATCACTAGGAAGGTGAAAGGGGCTTTCTCCAGGATTACTCCTGTTCCGAGCCTCCCACCCGCAGGTGCCCTTTAGGGTGCTGAAGTTCTCCCCCACCTGGTATAGGGCCAGTGAGGGCTGTTCCCCTTGTAGCCCGATGGGGCTCAGGAAAGGGATCCTCCTCTTAAGGGTCAGTGGGCGGACACTCTGTCCCACTACACCACCACACAGTCTATAATAAAAAGTCTCTACATGCCAGCCCTTGTTCCGAGCAGGACGACAATACACCCCAAAGACTGTCCTTAGGTCCAACCCTAATTCAGGGAGGCGTAACAGGCAACTACGCAGTTGGTTCAACTCCCAGAGCCTGGTTCAGGGCAGGGCTGCAAGAAAGCAGTTTATAAGCCTGGGCTGGTTCAGGGCAGGCCTTCAGGGAAACCGTTTGTAAGTGTGAGCCCTGGTTCAGGACAGGACAGCAAGAAAGCAGTTTATAAGCCCGGGCAGTTTATAAGCCTGGTTCAGGGCAGGGCAGCAGGCAAATACACACCAATAATTCAAGGCCTGTTTGCAACAACCCCAGCCAGGTCCTCTTGCTCTCGTGGGTGTCGGGCAGATGCAGGCCACTAAACGGGAACAGCCGAGGGGGGAGACTGCCATTCAAGAGTGGAGTGGCATGAGGGATGCACGCCCACCCACTCCACTGCGTCCCAGCCCAGGGCCCTACCAGCTGTAGAGCAGTTGGTCAGCAAGATCAGCTGACCGCAATGCACTGACCTTCTGGCAAACATGGGGCAGCTATTCCTGGGCTGTTTCCATTTCCCCCATCGGCTGTACCTGGGTCCATGGCAGTCATCTGAGCACTGTAGTTGGGAGTCCTCCTGCCAGGTAAACAAACTCTTCAGGCAGTCCTCCAGTAATGGGCCCGGTGGCCCCAGTTAGTCCTTAGCTTCCCCAGGGTCCAGCTCCTCTCTTGGTAATGCAGCGGAGGCTTCTGGATTCTTTGGTCGCTGGGGCTTGACTGTGCTCTCTGGTCAGCCTTTTATATCCCTGGCCCTGCCTCCTGGCTTCCTGTCAGATGAATTGCTAGGGTCAGATGCTGCCCACCAAGGCTCAAGGAGAGGCGCCTCCCCTTTGGTGTCAGTGGGCACCCACCCACCCTTGGAGTTTCAAATAGTGCCCCATTACACCCTTCATCAGGAAAACAAAAGAAAGTACACAGTTTGCTGCATTCCTCACTCAGGGTACGTCTACACTAGCCTCCTAATTCGAACTAGGGAGGCTAATGAGGGCGACTGAAATTGCAAATAAAGCACGGGATTTAAATATCCCGCGCTTAATTAGCATATTCCCGGGCGGTCGCCATTTTGGAAACTGACTAGCCCAGAATAACTGCCCGTGTCTACAAGCGGCAGTGAAAAGGGAATTCGAAGTAAACCCCTATCTCGAATTAGCTGTTAAACCTCATTCTATGAGGAGCAACGGCTAATTCGAGTTAGGGGTTTACTTTGAACTCCCGTTTCACTGCCGCGTGTAGACGAGGGCAGTTATTCCGGGCTAGTCAGTTTCCAAATGGTGACCGCCCGGGAACATGCTAATGAAGCGCGGGATATTTAAATCCCATACTTCATTTGCAATTTCGGTCACCCTCATTAGCCTCCCTAGTTCGAACTAGGGGGCTAGTGTAGACGTACCCTCAAAAAGGGGAGTGAAGGGGGCAGATCAACCTGGACCTACCCCAGCCAGGGGACATGCACATCTCACATGGCTGTTGCCCCCTAGAGCTAGGGGTACGTCTAGACTACAACTCTCTGTTGACAGAGATGTAGATTAGACACATCAAAATTGCTAATGAAGCAGGGATTTAAATATCCCGCACTTAATTAGCATAAAATGGCCACCGCTTTTTTCAAAATGGAGGGCTTTTTTTAAAAAATGGCAGTCTAGACCAAAAACTGAGGTTTACAGGATCTTTCGAAAAAGGGTTTATTTTCCAACATATCCGCGTCTAGACTTCTGGGTGTTTTTTTTTTTTTTTCAAAAAAGTTCCATTTCGAAAAAAGCGGCGGCCATGTTAATGCTAATGAAGCACGGGATATTTAAATCCCTGCTTCATTAGCAATTTCAACATGCCTAATCTACATCTCTCTGTCGACAGAGAGGTGTAGTCGAGACAGAGCCGTAGTGGCCGTGGAGAGGTGCTTCTCATCTGGCCCCCAGCTGCTACAGTGAGAGAGGGCTGTATACTGAACTCCTCATTCCCAACCCCACCCCAGAGCAATGATTTAAATGAAGAAAAACAAAACTTAATTGAATTAAGGACCTGAGTAATGCTCGGTAAATCTTCTAGTTTCAGAAAAAGAAATAAATTTTTAAGGACATGAAAAACTCTAAAAAATTTTTAACATGTTAGCCCCCCACCTCACCCTACCCCCACTCTACTAGAAAAACGTATTAGGGCTGCTGTTGAAAAAAATGAAGGAGAAAGTCTACAAAATCAGAGAATTTGATAATAAATAGTTCTTATATTTGGTAAAGCCACAATTATCTTTGAAAAATAAGGCTTAAATGTATTTTAAGCATGGTTTCATTTATACTTAATTTAACCTACATTTTTAAGAAGAGCTCATAAGGAAAAATACTGATTTTCTTACTGTTTCTGATTTCTCTTCTGTCTGGGTTTTTTTTCCTTTTGATTCTTCTTTGATTTTAACAGGTACTGGCTCTTTGTCAGTAGAAAGAGTTGTATGTTGTACGCTTTCATATTCAGACTGAGGAAACTGAAGTTTTGGGGTCTCTTCCATGACACCAGCTGAGTCTTTAGCTTTATACAGTTGTCCTCTCTCCTGAACAAGGACTTTTCCCTTTAATCTGTTTTCTGGAACCCCATAATCTTTAGAGTTTTCTTTATCAGTTAATACTTTTTTCTCTAGTTTAAAATCTTTTAGTTGTGATGTCATAATTTCTTGATTTTTCTCAGTTTCTACTGGAGTTTTCCTTGAAAGTAGTTCACCTTTTTGCTTCCCTGTGTCAATTGCTGGTAATTTTGATACTGATTTATCAGTTCCATTAATAGATTTTTGTCTTGAAAATGTATGATCTTCTTCCTTACCTTTAAATTTTGTTGGAAGTTTGCTTTTCTTTGATAAATCTTTATCATTTATTTTCACATCAGTGCCAGCATCCTCCTCCTCAGCCTCAGGATAAATAACATGCATATCTTGAACACCAGGAGGTATTACTGATTTTGTGAATTGCCTGTTACCTTTTCCAGTTTCCTGTTTAAAAAATATTAAAAACATTTACAGTAACCTTTATGTTGCTCTGAAGTCCCAATTCAGCAAAGTATTTAAATACCTGCTTAAATCCCAGGGTACGTCTAAACTACATGGCTCCGTCGACGGAGCCATGTAGATTTGTTGTTTTGGCAAAGGCAAATGAAGCCGCGATTTAAATGATCGCGGCTTCATTTAAATTTACATGGCTGCCGCGCTGAGCCGACAAACAGCTGATCAGCTGTTTGTCCGCTCAGCATGCTAGTCTGGACACTCCCCTACCAACATCAAAGCCCTTTGTCGGCAGCCCCCGTAAACCTCATCCCATGAGGAATAACGGGGCTGCCAACAAAGGGCTTTGATGTCAGCAGGGGGGGGTCCAGACTAGCTTCATTTAAATTTACATGGCTGCCGCGCTGAGCCGACAAACAGCTGATCAGCTGTTTGTCGGCTCAGCGCGGCAGCCATGTAAATTTAAATGAAGCCGCGATCATTTAAATCGCGGCTTCATTTGCCTTTCCCTATGTGTCTAATCTACATGCCTCTGACGACAGAGGCATGTAGTCTAGACACAGCCCCAGTGACTTGATCTTACGAATGTACTTTAAAGTACTTTGCAGACTAAGAAGTGGTTTTCTTACATATTTAAAGTTAAACTCATACTGAAATGCTTTGCTGAACTGAAGTCACAGCCATTAACTTTTATAATTAAAAAAGGTACCAAACAACTGCTTCAAGCTGTCCAAATAGGAATGAATTGACAATAGATAGGATGGCTATGTATTTAGAAGAAAATGTAATTTATTATTGCACTTTCTAAATAAAGAAGAAGTTACTCACCTTGTGCAGTAACAATGTTTCTTTGAGATGCATGTCCTATGGATGCTCCACTGTAGGTGTCAGGCTTGTCCCGGCACTGCAGACTGGAGATTTTTTCTAGTTGTAGTCTGCAGGACCGCGCATGCGCGATGCTCATCTCGTGCCTTTCACGCTGTTTTGTGTGTGGGCAGTCTGGCTTCCGCCAGTTCCTCCTGATCCTCTACAATCTGAAAGACATAAGAAACAAGGTACTCCGAAGAGGGGAGGAAGGCGGGTCGTGGAGCACCCATGGGAAATGCATCTTGAAGAACCATCGTTACTGCACAAGGTGAGTAACTGCTTCTTCTTCGAGCAGTGTCCCGGGGGTCCTCCACTGTAATTTTGCAGCAGTAGCTTGTGTAACACATGCAGGATTCAGAGCTATGGTGCTGCAGCAGTGGAGAGGACAGCTGAAGCAACCACTGTATCAACTATAAGGAGATTAGGTATGGCATAAAGTTTAGCAAACATGAAGCCGGGGGACCATGTAGCAGCCCTGCAAATGTCTCGTAAGGAGACTCCTTTGAGGAAAGCAGTTGATGTTGCCATCACTCGCGTTGAGTGAGCCTTCGGGGTGTGCAGAAGAGGCTTATTGTGTAAGGCGTAGCATCATTTTATGCAGGAGACAATGATTGTGGAAACATGTTGCACTGATAAGGGATGGCTCCTAGATCGTTCCACCGTGGACAGTAGGAGGCTTTGAGATTTGCAAAAGCATCACGTTCTATTGTTGTAGAATGCCAACACTCGATGGACATCCAAGGTATGGAGGCGTACCTGCTGTGCTGAGGAGTGGGGTTTGGGATAGAATGTGGGAAGAACAATGGGTTCATTTATGTGGAATTCCGAATTTACTTTAGGTAAAAGGTAGACTGAGGCTGTAGTATCACTCCCTGAGGAGTAAATATTGTGTAGGGCAGTGACACTGAAAGGGCGGACAGCTCCCTGACCCTTCGTGCTGAGGTTATCGCCAACAGAAAAATGCCTTTCATTGTTAGGGTGTGGAGATCACACATCGCTAGAGGTTCAAAAGGGGGTTGAGTTAGGGCATTCAAAACTAGCTCCAGGTTCCAGGGGTCCACTGGCTGCCTGAGGTGTGGGAAAAGGTTAGGAAACCCTTTCAAAAATCTCTTTGTCATTGTATGGGAAAATACGGAATAGCCATCCACTGAGTGTCAGAAGGCAGTGATAGCCTCTACATGCACCTTGAGGGACGAGCAGGTGAGGCCGGAATTTTTAAGATGTAAAAGATAGTCCAAAATGTGGTGAATAGGTGCCGAGTATGGATCCAAGTCTACGTCAGAACACCATGAAAAGAAGCATCTCCACTTATGCAGGTAAGTATTACACGTATTCGATTTTCTGCTATGTATCAGGATTTGTTTGACAGCTTGAGAACAGATCGTTTCTGTTTGTTGGAACCAACCAGGTACCAGGCCATCAGAGCAAGGTGGTTGAGTTGAGGATGCATCAGTTGCCCGTGGTTCTGCATCAGCAAGTCGTGACATCTGGGAAGAAGATATGGAGAGTGGATCGGCATGAGACAGGTAAGGGAATTACATCTGTCATAGCCAGAAGGGGGCTATTAGAATTACTGTGGCTCCTTCGATTGCTATTTTCTTCAAAACTCTGGAAATTAAGGGAGTGGGTGGGAAGGCGTACAGAAGGTGGTGACTCCAATTGCATAGGAAGGCGTCCCTCGTGGAGTTTCGTCAGATCCCAGACCTCGAGCAGTATTGAGGGCACTTTGTGTTGCAACACATGGCAAAGAGATCTACTGATGGGAACCCGCAGCAAAGGAATATGGTGTAGAGTACTTCTGGGTACAATTCCCATTTGTAGTTTGTGGAGAAATGTCTGCTTAGTGCATCAGCTGTAGAATTCTGTTCCCCAGGGAGGTACACTGCGATGAGCGTAATCTTGTGTTGGCTGCACCAATTCCATAAGTATATTGCCTTGGCACAAAGCAATCAAGAACAGGCTACTCCCTGTCTGTTCACAGTATACTGTGGTCATATTGTCAGTAAGGACTCGAATGTCTTGACCACGGATCAGAGAGAGAAAGTGCTGACATGCGTTGAAGATTGCCGCAACTCAAGGAGGTTGCTATGTAGCAGCGATTCTTGGGGGACCATAGTCCTTGGGTTTGCTGGTCCTGTATATGGGCGCCTCAACCTAGAAGTGATGGATCAGTGGTAAGTTGCATTGTTGGTTGAGGGCAATGAAAGGGAATCCCGTCCATCAAATTGCTGGGGATGGTCCACCAAATCAATGATTTTCTTACATGAGAAGGTATCGTAACTCTCCTGTGGACATCGTGGACCTTTATGGTATATATCGTAGCTATCCAATGCTGAAGACATTGGAAGTGTAATCTTGCACATGCTACAACATACATTGTAGACACCATATGGCCCATGAGCTGCAGGTAATTGAGTACAGGTGTCCTGGGACTGGTAGAGAGTAGTTGTACCAGGTCCTGGATCTGTTCACAGGTAAGAATGCACGCACCTTGGTCAAGTCGAGGCATGTGCCAATGAACTCTAGTGATCGTTGTGGTATCATGGATGACTTTGGGACATTCAGTATAAGCCCAAGCACCTCGAATATGGATCTTGTGGTGTTGGTGGCATGAAACACTTTGGTGAATGAAGATGCTCTGATTAGGCAGTTGTCAAGGTAGGGGAATATTATGATTCCCAGTCGTCGCAGGTATGCCGTTAATACTGCCAGTGTCTTCAAGAAGACCCTAGGAGCTGACGAGAGACCGAAGGGCAGGACCTTGTATTGGAAATGGTCTGCATCTATTTGGAAATGTAGGAATCATCTGTGGGCCGGGTGAATGGTCACATGAAAGTAGGCATCTTGTAGGTTGAGGGACATGAACCAATCTCCACTGTGCTGTGATGGAATGGTCGTCGCCAGGGTCACCATCTTGAAATGTTATTTGCGAAGGTACCAATTTAAACCTCAAAGGTCCAGAATGGGCCTCCAACCTCCCAACTTTTTCTTGGTCAAGAATAGCGGGAATAAAAACCTCTGCCTCTGAACTCATCTGGAACCTTCTCTATCACTCCGATTGTCAGAAGATGAAGTGCTTCTTGTTTTAGCAGAGGCTCGTGAGATGGGTCCCTGAAGAGGGATGGGGTGAGAGGGTGGAAGGAGGTAGTGAGCTAAAGGGGATGGCGTAACCTAGTGCGATGAGCTGTAGGACCCATCTGTTGGTGGTAATATGGGCCCATCAATGGTGGAATGGCCTCAGATGGTGGTGGAATAGTGTATTTGCTGCATGAGGATGGTTGTCTAACGGTATGGTTCGAGTCCCTCGACCGAGACATCAAAGTTGCTGTCTGGTGTTTTGTTTACCGGACGCTTTGGGTTGAGGTTGCCTTCTCGGCTGTCACTGTCTGTTGCGTTGGTGGTCTTGTTGTCTGTATTGGGTCATTGGATGGTACAACGGTCTTTGCCTCTGGTAGGGTGTGTACCACTTGGGGTGGTAAGGCGGGGTGTACATACCTAGAGTTCGCAGTGTGGTTCGAGTCCTTGCCTCAATGGAGAACTTTGTCTGTCTTTTCTGAGAAGAGACTCTGCCTGTCAAAGGGGAGATCTTCAACTTTGGACAGGAGGTCTTTTGGTACCACTGCTTATTGCAGCCATGATGTCCTATGCATGACCACTGAGGTGGCAGTGGTCCGTGCTGCAGTGTCTGCTGTATCAAGGGCTATGTGCAGAGCTGTCCTGGAAGCCGCATACCCTTCTTGTGCCACCACCTTGAGTACTTCACGTTTCTTGTCTGGCAGGTGTTCTAAGAATGGAGCCAGTTTCGAGTAATTATTGAAGTTATGATTGGCCAATAATGCAGCATAGTTGGCCATGCGAAGAATTAATGTCGCTGAAGAATAGACTTTTTGGCCAAAGAGATCCAGAGGCTTAGTGTCCTTGTCTACGTTATTAGTTTTGGGGTGACGAGCTTTTGCCCTCTGTTGTGCTGCATCCTCAACAAGAGAATTTGGTTGTGGATGCATGAAAAGGAATTCCATGCTCTTTGCAGGAACGAAATATTTCTTGTCTGTTCTCTTGTTAGTAGCAGGAGTTGATGCTGGCATTTGCCACATGTCATCTGCTATTTCTAATATTGCGTCATC